TCAAACTGTTTTCCAAAATGAATATATGATTTTTATTTCTTACCAGCAAAAATTGATGAGATCCCAGATGCTTTAAATGGTAACCACATTTGTTCTTGTTGGTCTCTTTTTATATGTTCTAATATATATGTAATGTATCTTATACAGTTTTAGTTTATAGCCTTTTAATGACTAACCTAATAAGCTTATTTTAATGTGTGTTATTTATCATTCAGATATCTTCTTTGGTAATAAGATTTTTCAGTACTTTGGCCATTTTTAAATGGGTTGTCTAATGCTGAGTTGCAAGAGTTCTTTAGGTGTTTTGGATATAAGCACCATACACTATATATGTGGGTTTTTCTTTTTTTTTTTTTTTTTTGTGGTACAGGGGTTGAACTCAGGGCCTGCACCTTAAGCCACCCCATCAGCCCTTTTTTTGATTTTCAAGAGAGGATCTTGCTGAACTATTTGCCGTGGGCTGGCTTTGAACTGCAATCCTCCTGATCTCTGCCTCTGAGTAGCAAGGATAACAGGCATGAGCCACTGGCCCTGGCTCTGTATACTCTTTCCCAAACTGTAGTTTCACTTTTCGTTTCTTCATGGTTCATCTGAAATATCAAAACTGCCTTATTTAATCACTTATTCTTTCCACTGTTTGTGAATTATTTGCCTTCTCTATGGAATCTTAGTCTATTTCAGGGTTCAAAGATTTCTCCTTTTTTTTTTCTAGACATTTTAAAGTTTTAGCTCTAGCATTTAGATTTTGTATTCAATTTGAGAAAAGTTTTGCATGCAGTATGAGGTAAACGTCAATGTTATTTTTTTAGCATGAATATTTTGTTTGATTATTCCAGGACCACTTACTGAAAAGTAATTCTTTTTGGAATTACTTTATTGTTTTTGTTGAAAAAAATCCAAGAACATATGCATTGGCCCATTTCTTTTTTTTTTTTTTATTCATATGTGCATAAAAGGCTTGGGTCATTTCTCCCCCTTGCCCCCACCCCCTCCCTTACCACCCACTCCGCCCCCTCCCTCTCCCCCCTACCCCCTCAAAACCCAGCAGAAACTATTTTGCCCTTATTTCTAATTTTGTTGTAGAGAGAGTATAAGCAATAATAGGAAGGAACAAGGGTTTTTGCTGGTTGAGATAAGGATAGCTATACAGGGAGTTGACTCACATTGATTTCCTGTGCGTGTGTGTTACCTTCTAGGTTAATTCTTTTTTTTTTTTTTTTGCACGGGAATAACTAAAATCTTTATTAGATGTGGTTTTTCCAATAACAATAATGTGGAAATTGGAATTATCAATTCAAAAAACGGTGAAGTCAGAAATTTTAAAAAGTAGACTAGATATTAGAGGGGACAAAAAAAGTAAAGGAAGACAAGAATGTTAATGGTATTCAGTATCTCCCCTCTGTACACAATGTTTCATATATATACAACTACTCCATTTTTACTTTATTGATTTGATATAATTGTGAAATCCCCTTAAGCAACGTAGGTTATACACTTGGTGTCCAACTTGGCGAGAGGAGGGGGTAAAGAAACACTTAACAGTTTTCACCCAAACATTTTAGACAGACTTTTTTTTTTTTGGTAAAGATTTTAGTAGTAAATTCATAAATATAGGCAATACTTTCACTCCTTCAGTGTTAAAATAGAAAACCAAACAGTGCCAACAGCAGTGGCTCAATTATCGTATACAAGAAAAACACAACACCAATGGGTTTTCTTAATTATGCATTTTAAATATCAATATGTGCATTTCATTTTTACAGTTATAAATTTTCTAATCCGTTTTAGACAACAGCATGTAATAATTTTGAATCCACTGAGATGTTGCTTTCAATTTGAAATATCATGTTTACATCTATATAAAAAATAATCCAATGTATGATTCATCCTACAGATGTTTAAGATCAATAATGGCTTATTTTTGAACATGCAATTAGGAAGAGAGGGAAGCAACCCAACCTCTCTACACTGTCTCGCTGCTGGCTTGCTTTTGCAGTGGTATCAATAGTGGTTTTGGAGGGAACCATGGGCCTTCAGCATACCTAGTTAAGATCAGATGCCACAATCATCAAGAGATTGGGAAAGGGGAATGGGCAGGTGTTAGATGTCAAGTGTTCATTTTGCACACTTGCATAGGATAAAAACAGGCCAATGGTGGCAGTGGTGGTGGGGTTATAATTAGGAACAAAACTGCAATCAAATCAAGACATAATAGCTGAATTAAGTTCTTTTAATAGATTGCATATATAGATGTTTAGCCATACTCTAAGATCAACTCTTTAAGAGCAGAACTTTATATCCATTTCACATGCTTAAGATATCACCTTCCTTATTTGTTACAGTAAGGTCTTGTATCCAAATATCCACTTGTACACTGAGAGCTTTAAGAAAAAAAAAAAAAAAGGACACAGAGGGAGTTGCCATTTTTAGCAGCAATAAAATATCACTAACCCCTTTTTACATACCGAATTCAAGTCACTATCAGAGGTGAGTGCACCACAAAGTCACCAGGTACAAAATTGCTAGTTCATTTTTAAATTAATAATTAACTTGAAATTACCCCTGCCCTCCCACCCCATCACATCCCTTCTTATAAACAGCAAACATTTTTGCTTTTATACATAGGCTAGCAGGCTTGTTTCAATATGAAAGTGCTAATTCATTTACAGATTTTTAAATCAGTTATGTAGTGCTATAATAAATGTCCAATAATCTACATAGGAACAATCTTTGAAAATGATGAAGACTGAATAAGGCTTATCTTACCTTATCTTATATACATAGAAAGGATACCTTTTCTCTAGTTCTTGGTTCCCTTTTCCTATTGGCCTCAGTTGCTTTTAAGGTATCTGCTTTAGTTTCTCTGCGTTAAGGGCAACAAATGCTAACTAATTTTTTAGGTGTCTTACCTATCCTCACCTCCCCCCCTTGTGTGCCATTTCTTGTTTCTATGTGGTTTCATTGATAGATTTCCTCTTTTTATGTCAACCCCATGTGTTCGATATTTTTTAAAAAAATTATTATTGTACTGGGGGTACATTGTGACTTTTATAAAAACTGAATTTACCCCCTCAATCATTCTCCATTATCCCCCCTTCCCATATTCATGGAATACTTTCAATAGGTCTTATTTTTCCATTTGCATGCGTGAATACATAATATTTCCACCATATTCACTCTCCTATACCCTTTCCTTATACCCTTCCCACTTCTTCTGGTCCAAATCCCCAGAAAGGATCTGTTTTACCTTCCTGCTCTCTGTTTTTAAAAAAAGACTTTTTTGTTTGCTTAAGATAGCTATGCAGGGAGTTTCATTGTGATGTTTCCATGTATATATGCATTATAATCCAAATTGTTTCATCCCCTCTATTTTTCTCCTTTCTATCCATGAGCTCTTGATTGTGCAGTTTATATTAAATCTTGAAATTGGGTAGTGTAAGTCCACCAACATAATTACCAGCCTTTCAATATTTTTTTTTATTATTCTGGGTCCTTTCCCAATGCTTGTAAATTTTTAAATCTGCTTAGTTTCAAAAAACCTGGCAGGATATTTATTCAGAATGCATTGGATTTGTATGATCTGTGAGAACTTGACATTTTAGTATTCCCCATGAGCAGTCCCTCTCCATTTATTTAAGACTCTTTTAATGTGTCTTTCCTTCTTCTTTCTTCCTTTTCTTCCTCTTTCTTTCCTTCCTTCTTTTTCTTGAGATTGAACTCAAGGTCTTTTACTTTCAAGATAAGCTATCACTTGAGCCACATTCCTAATCCAGCCTCCACTAATTTGTACCCAGAAATATTTTATGCTTTTAGTATACAAGTTTTTACATACGTGATTAATTATACCCCTAAATATTTTGCATTATTTCAGTGTAAATGGTACATATTTTACTCTTCAATTGTCTGTTTTTAGGAAATAGATATTTGCTTTTTGCATATTCACTTTGCATCTTGAGACCTTGTTAAATCTATTTATTTCTATTCAGTAGTTACAAAAATCGACTTTGTAGATTCCAAAGGATTTCCTATGTGGGTGTTTGTGCCACCTGTGAATAAAGATCACTTTGCTGTTAATATCTAATTAATATATATTTTTTCTTTTTCCTACCTGAATGCAGGGCTGGCACTCCCCATAAATGTTGCATAGAAGATCATCTCTGGAGGAAAACCCAGTCTTCCACTATTAAATATTTTGGTGTAGTGTTTTGTAGATGATATTTTTGAACTTGAGAAAGTTCCCTTCTATTATTAGCTTGCTGGGCTGACAAGATGTTACCTTCATTATTGAGTTCTGCAAAACTCTAGTTATTATTTTAACATTTAATTTTGTTTTTCTCTTATTGATTTGTTTTCACTTCATTCATCCATTTTTTTTACATTAGGCTTAGCTTTCTCTTGTTTTCCTACTTAATGTGGAAGTCTAGATTAATTTGAAGCTTACTTCTCTTCTAATGTTAGCTACCTATTTTTAAATTTTTCTAACATTGTATTGCTTTCCATTCCTCCTAAGCACTACTTTAACTTCATACCTCAACATGTCATTTCTATTCAGTTGAAAATATTTTGTAATTTCCCTTGTGATACTTTGTTCTTTTTTCTGTCCATTAATTTTAAGTGCATTTTTACTTTCTTAGTATGTGGGGATTTCCAGAATATGTTGGTTATTGGTTTCTTCCCATTTTTATTGTGCTCCGTTCAAAGTAGCAACTCAAAATTTTCAAACTGTTTGGAATATGTCTTATTTTGTGACCCAGGTATGATTTGTCTTCAATTTTTTATATGAGATCAAAAAAAGGTGAATTTTTGTTATTGTTGGATGGATTATGCTATGAGTATTAAAATTGGTTAATAGCGTTTTTTTGTTCTATAAATCACTCTACAATTATTCAGTTACTGAAAGGAGTTCAAATGGCCAATTATATTTGTCTACCTTGCCTTTCAATTCAGTTTTTGATACTTTTTAAGTCTCTTATTAGATAAACAAGAGCCGGGACGGGAGGATGAGGCGGCGGTTGATCCCCGAGCAGCGGGTGTTGGCGACTCAGGTGGCGAGTGGAACCGGGCGACGATCCTGAGCTTAGCTTGACCGGTTCTCCCATCCCTTAGCTCCCCCTACACACTTTCCGGCCACGCGCGCGCGCGCAGCCCCTTTGCGGGCCGACCCGCAGCGCGCGCAGCCACGAACCTGGCGAGCCAGAGCGGTGAGGCCGGCGCCGGCCAGCTGCTGTTCGCCAACTTCAACCAGGACAACACCTGACGCGGAAGACGTGTGCATCGTGGAGAGGCTGTTCTCCAGCAGCCTGGTGGCCATCGTCAGCCTCAAAGCGCCCAGGAAGCTGAAGGTCTCCCACTTTAAGAAGGGGACGGAGATCTGTAACTACAGCTATTCCAACACCATCCTGGCCGTGAAGCTCAATAGGCAGAGGCTCATCGTGTGCCTGGAGAGTTCGCTCTACATACACAACATCCGGGACATGAAGGTGCTGCACACCATCAGGGAGACGCCCCCAAACCCTGCAGGCCTGTGCGCACTCTCCATAAACAATGACAACTGCTACTTGGCTTATCCTGGGAGCGCGAGCATCGGTGAGGTGCAAGTCTTCGACACCATCAACTTGAGAGCGGCGAACATGATCCCAGCTCACGACAGTCCCTTAGCTGCGCTAGCCTTTGACGCAAGCGGAAGCAAACTTGCCACCGCTTCTGAGAAGGGGACCGTGATTAGGGTATTTTCCATTCCAGAGGGACAGAAACTCTTTGAGTTCCGGAGGGGAGTGAAGAGGTGTGTGAGCATTTGCTCTCTGGCTTTCAGCATGGACAGTATGTTCCTCTCCGCGTCCAGCAACACTGAGACGGTGCACATCTTCAAACTTGAGACTGTGAAAGAAAAACCTCCAGAGGAGCCCACTACCTGGACGGGCTACTTTGGGAAGGTGCTCATGGCCTCCACCAGCTACCTGCCCTCCCAGGTGACAGAAATGTTCAACCAAGGCAGAGCCTTTGCCACCGTCCGCCTGCCATTCTGCGGCCACAAGAACATCTGCTCATTGACCACAATTCAAAAAATTCCCCGGTTACTGGTGGGAGCATCCGACGGCTACTTGTACATGTACAACCTGGACCCCCAGGAGGGCGGCGAGTGCGCCCTGATGCGCCAGCACAGGCTGGACGGCAGCATGGAGACAACCAGTGAGATCGTGGACTCCGCCTCCCATGACTGCCCCTTAGTGACCCAGACGTACGGCACAGCCGCAGCCAAAGGTGCTTACTTGCCCTCGTGCCCCACAAGACTTGGTAAGGGGCAGGACGCCAACCTAGAAGCCTACACAGATGACTTGGGCGCTGTGGGCGGTGCGTGCCTGGAAGATGAAGCCAGCGCCCTGCGCCTGGACGAGGACAGTGAGCACCCTCCCATGATCCTCCGGACTGACTAAGCCTGGCCCGGGATCTGGCCTGACAGGACTTCTGCATTGCTGCTATGAACTTTGACCTGAATTAGGGGAGAGGATGGCAGAGACTTTAAAAAAAAATAAGGATGTAGAGATAGTCTAACTTCATACTGTTGAAAATACACAGTTTTCACTCAGTGGCTTTTAATTCTGCTTACCCACTTCAGCTTTTTGTTTCCTCTCTTTTCTTTTTTTCTTTTTTGCCAAAATGAACTGTTTGCAGTCCTTGGAGTCTCTTTCCGTGTGCATGCTGTGCAAAGCCTGAATAGGGCAGCTAGCAGCCACCATCGAGCAAACCGCTCTTGTTGGGGTAACGTCTGTGCAAGTGATGGCAGGCGTGCAGAGTGGTTCTCTGGGCCCTGGACCTTGGGCAGGAGTCCTCTGGTTCTGCAGCTCCACCTGGACCACTATCCCTCCATTTTATTTTGCTAGACTTGCATCGTACCGGGACTTCTTCCAGGGGGACTTTGTTTCTGGGCTCACTCTCCATGTGGGTAGTGGGAGAGAGGCTCTTTCCAGTAAGAAAAACCTGCCTCTCTGACCACGGGTGAACTTAAAAGTGAGCCTGGACCACCTGGAGCCAAGGAAAGTAATGTCGTTTGTGTCATTAAATGACCTCCTCTTCTCTAAAAAAAAAAAAAAAAAAAAAGTCTCTTATTAGATGAATATATGGTAGCAATGTTCTCCTGATGAATTGATCCATTTATCATTATGAATAAGCCTGTTTATACACAATAATGTGATTTTTTTTCAGTAATATAGCAATTCAATTTCTTTTACATTTTCATGGGTATTCATATGTATATTTAATATGTGTATTTGCATACACGTATGCTTACATTTGTGCATATATGTGAATATTTTAATGTATATGTGTCTTGATACATGGGAGACGCATAATCGTGTTTATACCTATGTATTTGGAGCATGTGTATAATAGGCATGTATTTATGTGTTTTGAATATATTAATACAAGGTTCTTTATTTAAATAAATACATCTCAATGAATGTTTATATTTGTAACAGATATGAAGATCAAAGTTTATTCTACACTCCAAATTATAGTTGTCAAGTTTACAATGAGATCCTCAAAGAAACCTACACAGATTTTCAGAAGAAACAAAATTAGAATCGATTCCATAACCTTGGAACACTCTCTCAAATTTCTGAGACATATAGATGTTGAGAGATTTGAGAGAGAGAATTTTTTAAGAGATTTCTTTGGAGAGCGCTCTTGTCATGTAGGTATTTACATGCCCAACAAATTATGTTCTCCTTTTTCCTACCTGGGTTCAGAACCAAGAGAAAAACATGAGTCAGGGAAATCTAGCTTTATTTCTCATAAAGTTGATGTGCACATGAAAAAATGGGCATTGTGCCCCTCAGAATGAGTTACATTGCCTACCCAATAATTTACATTGTTCCAAAGGGAAGGCATTGGAGAGCAAAATGGAATATATCCTTCATTCATGCACTGGATTTCAAGTATGTAGGTGCTCAGTGCTGAGCCAGGCCCACTGCAACTTTAAATTCAATATTCAGGTAAGTTTTTTGGAAAACATTTTTCTCGTGGGACTTATATCTATAAAACTGGTACTTCCCATTCACGAACAGTACATGCAATGTTATGAATACATGCACAAATCACTTTTTGCCTTTTGGAATTACATACATGCATACACTCATCTCTGTTATTTTATTCAACAAATACCAAGTGTCTAATAAAGGTTGGATATTGTTCTGGGTGCTCAGGATGTATGTATGAGCAAAGCAGACAGAAGCTCTTATACTCATGAAGTTTCCAGTTCAGTGAGATTAAGCATTTTTTAAAAGATAAAATATGAGTAAATCTTATGTTATTTCAGTGTGAAATAAGCTCTATTAAACAAAGAAAAATAGGGCAAGATGAGTTGATTAATAATGTTAAGTTGTGGGAGCATTGGCTTTTATAGCACAGTAATCAAGGTAGACATGACTGAAAAGGTGAAATTTGAGTGAACTTTAAGGAGAAGAGGAAGGGAGCCATGTGGATATATAGCAGAACATCACCCTGTCAGAAGTCAACCAAGGTCCTTCCAGAAAGGGCAGGAAACCAGTTTTTTTCTGGAGGAGAATAGTAGTGGAAGAGGTCAGGTAAGTAACAGCAGGCTAGTTTTGCTGTCCTTCTAAAGAAGGTCTTTGGTTAGTACACCAAGCAAAATGAGAAGACAGAGAATAATGTTGATCAGAGTAGTAGTGTGGTCTGATGTACATTTGAAAGGTCCACTCTGGGTATTGTCATGGGAGTGAATTGAAAGTGGATGAAATACACTCACCTTACCTGAAAAAATTATGCTCTTTAAAGTACCCAAATCTTTCCCATCATGGTTATAAAGCTCACCCTCTGCTTTTTTGTTCCTTTCTCTTTTCTGCTCAATCTTTCAAATATTCATCATTGTGCACTCTGTATTTTTCCATATCATTTTTGTCTCAGTGCAGTTTGACACCAGTTTCACCATGAAGAGATGCAAGGCAGCACCCTTCCAAGGAGCTCCAGTGAAGCTGTGTAAACCATGAGCTAGAGCGTACACAAGCCCCTCTATATCCTCCTGTTTCTGATGTTTGTCTTTTGTATCATAGTAATCTGAAAAGCTTAGAAAATGTGTTATTCCCACTCACACATTTTATACACTATTAAATCCCAGTCCCTGTAATGAATGAAAAGATGGTAAAATTGCTTTTGGTGGTGGTAACCTGACTTCTGTTTTCTTCTACATTATTGTCCATATTGATTGAATTTTTATAATATGTATGAGAATTTAATTGAAAATGTAGTTCTACTATTTAATATATTAGATAAATAACTTAAGCTTTAACTTGCTCATTTAAGAAAAATGATATAAAATATCCACCATTGAGAGGAATACTTAACTTAGTTCACCATTCAAGTTAATACTCAAAAGAAAATTACTCATTGTTAGTAAATATAAAATGAGGAAAACACTTAAGGTAAAGTAAAATATTAAAAGATGCAGTTTTTTGTTTTTTCTGCTTCCTTTCTTCCTTTTTCTTAAGAAAAAGGTGTTACTCTGTAACTCACCCAAACTGGCCTCAAACTCACCATCCTCCCAAGTGCTGGGATTACAGATATGTGCCAGTACTCCTGGCTTAAAAGATGCCAAGATTTTAAATGATGGCCAGTGTTAATCCTTATTGTCTGTTCCTTTAAGATCTGCCTATTCCCTAGAATCTGAATTCCACTACTTTTGAGTCTAGAGAAATCTCCATGGTTCTCAGGCAGGTTAAATTAGGAACTCATAAAAAAAAATATTGCATCTTAGATTAACCATGCTTTGGCTCAGGAACCAACCTTACCTGGCTGGAAACTCTCTATGCCCCTCCCCAGTCATGGATTATTGGCTGGGAATCTCCTTGTTCTCCCCTTCCCATAGGTCAGTGTAGGTTTTAAAAGCACCTGAACAGCAGAAACATGCTCTCTTGACTTCTGGCTTCCACCTGGGCTTCACCACACCTCCCTTTGCATTTCCCTTCCCTAAATTTCAATAAAGTCCATTTACACTCACGTGTCCTGCCATGGATTCTTCCACGCAGGATAAGAATGTGGAAGTCTTCTGATCATAGACTAAACTAGTGCCATCAACAATTCCTTCAAAGTCACTAGGTTTCTTCCCTCATGTTCCTTGTCTTTAAATATTCATTTTCTGCTTTCCATGACTCATAAGGAAAAGCATAATTCCTTTGCTACTTTCAGTACAAATGGCAATGGCAACAACAAATCCAATTAATGTAATTCAGATTCTTAACCTGAGGGTCTAGAGACTCATGGAGAGTTGTCCACAGCTCAACATGAGCTTTATTTCCAGGGTAAAGCTGGAACATTCTGAAGATGTTAAAAGATCCCTTACCAATCTCTGAGTATTTCTCCCATGATCTTCTTTCCCTGTTCTAAATGAGTTACACACTACTTAAGACTAAATGAACACTCTTCAAGCTTGCCTAAAGAGCAGGAGCTGCTCTTTTTTTCTCTATGAGGATTTTATTGAATTTCATATAAGTGAAAGCCTCTTATACTCCTTTCCCTTCCAGTTGCTTCCATTGATGCTCTGCTAATGAATTAGTTCTGACCAAGATCATCACAATGCCCACAGCCTTAGATGAACCAATTTAAGTGGTTCAGCAACACCATGTAAAAGCTCACTTTAACATCTAGACTTCTTAATAATTATTTAAGCGAGGATGAAATTTATTTAAACTTTCATCAATCAACTTAAAACATATGGAAAAAAAATGAATCCATAGAAGTTTAAAATGTGTTGAAGTGATAGTTTTTCTTTATTTTCCGTATTAAAGAGCTCGTTATCTAAGGACAGTAGCTTTTTGTGCTGCAAATATAGCCTTTTATCTCATCACAATTGGTACTGTTAATGCCTTTCTCATGTAGGAAGGCACAATCACCACCTTCTTCCACAGCATACCTGGAATAAAGTAAAGATTAACTCTTTATTTTACTGGATCTCATGAAATATAACAACACAGCAAGCTCAAATCCTGAATGACCATGATGACCATGTCTGAATGTGCAATGTGGAAGGAGCAGAGAAAACTAAATCAACTATTTCTCTTTTGTTTTCAGGCCCTACTTTACCTCCAGACTCTGTTGGTGGGAAGCAAAGGATGCTATGTCGACAATGCTGAAAACATCTTAAATCCTTTTGTTATGGATTGGAATCTTCCCTTTATGCTTTAGAATAAAATTTAACAGATGGGAATGGTGGTACACATCTATCATCCTAGCACTAAGGAGATGGAGGCAGGAAGATGAATAGGTTGAGGCCAGTCTGGCATACACGATGAATACATAATGATAACTCTGGTTCAAAAACAGGAAAAATCTGAGTTTATTTAGCATATAAAAGGTGATATAATGGGGTGTAACTGACATTTCTTGAACAACCCCTTAATGCATTATAAAATTATCCTATCTTACTGCTGAAATATGGGTTCAGTTGGCCATTCCCTGCAGCCATCATCATAATGCAAAAGTTATTAATTGCTTGGGAGAGTGATATAATATAAGTAATCAAAAGCAAAATAGCTAGATAGTATTTTTTAAATTTTTATGTGAGGTTACATATGAATGTATAAAACTGAAAATTCAGAATGAGAAAAATAATAAAATGATAAGTTGTGATGAATTTCTGGTTTTACAGTAATTTAAAATGCTTTTAGCACTTTGTTTTTTGGGAACTTTGCACCACCCTTTGCTTACTTCTTGGGTAACTTCAAATTTTTATCCTTACCCATTCCCAAAATGTAATGTATAATCATCCCTTAGTATCAGTGAGAGATTGGTTCTAGGACCCCCACCTTGGAACCAACAGATGCCAGAGAGCCTTATATAAAATGGTGCCATATTTGCATATCACCTTCACACATCCTCCCACAGACTTTAAGTCATCCATAAATTACTTACACTATTTAATACAATGCAAATGTTATATAAATACTTACTATACTGTATGACCTAGGAAATAATGACAAGAAATGATATTTGGACATCCTCAGTACAGACATGATTTGTTATTTTTCTAATGTTTTCCACCTGCAATTGGCTGAATCCATGGACATGGAACCTTTGATGTGGAATCCATGTATGAAGAACTCGCCAACTGTATTTCCATGCCTGTGCATTCCTGTGTACCAACTGAGAACTCACCAACTCCCAAGTTTCCTTTGTTGAAACCCCTATCCACAATGCCTCAGAATTTAACTGTATTCAGAGATGAGGCTTTAAAGGGGATTATTACCTTAAAATGAGGGCTTTTCTTTTATCTTGTTTTTTGGATGACCTCACTATGCAAGCAGTCTGGCCTCAAACTTGTGGTCCTCCTGCCTCTACTTCCTGGACATTGGGATTGCAAACACATATCACAAAGAATGCCTGGCTTAAAATGAAGTCTGTTGGGTGGGACTTAATCCAGTATGACTGATGTTCTTATAAGAGGAAATAACTTAAACATAGACTTGAGTGTGCACAAAAGATAAACTGTGAAGATAGAGTGAGAAGGTGGCCATCTTCATAACAAGAAGAGAGACCTCAGAAGACACCAACACGCCAACACCTTGAACATGGACTTGTAGCCTACACAGCTATTATTTAAGTTGCTCCATCTCTTGGATTTATTATGGCAACTATAGCAAAATAATTCACCAACTTCTATCAATTAATACCTTTACTTCTCCCTCATTTTTTTAAATAATGGGATTATACATATAATATTTAAACATTGTTAAGCTGTCAATATTTTCTTTCAATGAGATATCATAGGTTATTAGATTTTGTCACTGGAAGCTTAATTTATGCCATATCTTTTCTTACATTTTTAAAAATTAAAACATAATTATTGGCTAAAACATAATCATTCACTCTCAATTCATTACGTATTTTCATCCTAAATTTTATGTAACTACAATGATTGCAGAAGTTTCTCTAAATTTAGTAAGTTCTGCACTAACTTTGTCATATCTTATGCATAATAAAATATCTGGCATGTCATATGAATGCCACTAGACAAGTACTTGTCACAAAGAAGAAGCTCAGCAAATTTTAGTTACTGGTTCCTCTATAAAGAACACAATATCCTTCTAGGTACTTGTTTCCACTTTGAAGTTAGGGGAAAATTAAAAAAATTCTAGAACAAAAATGGAGTCAAAGGGTACAATTAGCTCTTCAGGATAAAAAATATGTAGAAGTACTAGAAGTTTAAATAAATGTAAATCAGGGTGAACATCTGTCTTCCCAATTTATTCTCTTCCATGTCAGGCCATTGGCAGATGTGGAAAATATAGGTTTCAGTGTATCTTCAAATATTCTCCCATCAATGAGAGCTCAATGAAATCACAACAAAAGAGAAAAAAAAGGCAAAGTCCCAAGTGGACTTAGGCAAGAGTCAAACTACTTAAACTTGTATCTTTTCCAGGTTAAAAGGAACACTGTGACTCCCATGCAGTATAATCTAATTCAACATAAAGAAGTAAGCATGGTATTTGATGGCAAACTCTCACTAAAGAATGCTTATTGAAAAAGGTGGGGAGGAGGTAAAAAGGTAAGGGAGAGTACTCCTAAGGGGTTGAACAGACCAAAGTAAAGTATACTTACAGTGGGAATACATTTAGAAACCCCTTTGAACATTGAGTTAGATATTAATAATGAAAGACAGGGCTATAAAATAGGTACAGTGGGGGGAGGTTACTAGTGAGAGGGGAGAGGGTGATCAAAGGAGATTAAGGTGAGGGAATGTGGTTGATGAACTTTATATACTTATATGAAACAGAACAAAGAAACCTCTTGCAATAGTCTTAAGTGGGGTAGGGAAGGAGTAGAGGAGGAGATGGTGGGGGTGGTCTAACCAATGCACAATATAAGCCTATTTGGAATTGTCACAGTGAATCCATCCTGTACAACAAATATATCCTAATAAAAAATTAATGGGAAAGAAAGAGTGTCAATTTGTTTCCCTGAAGGTTCTCTTTAGCATCTATATGTGGAGGGTCTTTTGAGGGAAAGGGGTTGAAGAAACTATTGAGGTAGGTGCTTTTAGACTCAAAATTCTTACCATTCTTAATCATTTAATACTAAATAAATGTTATTAAGGTTTACCAATTATTGAATAGATTTCCATTTGCCCATTTCCAGATTTTTTGTGGATTGAGTTTGTTCAGTCCAATCCAATATGAAGGGTAACTCATAGACTCCATCAACGTATCCTGTTACAAAATGCAGAGTGCTATAATGAGAGTCTCCCAGTTTTCTCATTCTCACCACATAAAACAGAATTTTCATTGTCTGTATCCATTATTATCTTAAACATAAACTGCCTGATAACACAATTCCCTTCCTTTATAGTCACTCAATTGCCAATCTCATCACAGCAAAGAAAATGATTCTTTTAATACTCAAGTCAGAGCATAGTACACTTTTACTCATCATTTGTATACATTTTATTTTACTTGGGGCAAAAAGAAGCTAAAGACCTAAAGGATCCACATCCTCACTTACTTCCTCATTTTAGACATCTTAACTATCTACTTCTTTTCTCTTCCTTGAGTATTCTAGGCATGACCCTAACTTAAGACCCAAGTTGCATATGATTCCTTTTCCTGGAGACCTTCTACCCCCGATACTTCCTTGATTAACTGCCTTACCTGTGTACATCTTTGCTGAAATATCATCTCAATAAGCTATGACCTTGCCAGCAACCTACTCACTTGGAGAACTCATTTTATACTTAAGCATACTTAACCTGTATACTTTTTGCATAAAACTAACTTCAAGTACTCTATAATGTACATATTTACTATGATTATTTTGCATTTTCTGTCTCCTCTAAGGCATAAGCTCTCCAAGGGCAAAGACATTTAACTGTTTTATTGACTAATATATCTTTCCTAGAAGTAGGCCTGCCAATTAATATTACTCAACACATTAAATAGTACTGATAATGCCAAGGAGACATCTAACCATTTCAATCTCATTGTTGATATAAGCTAGAGATGTGAAATACACTTTGCAGGTTTCATTTCCATTAAGCCAAGTTGTCTCATGTTCAGAGTGAAAGAAGCAATTCTTGTTGACTTGTATCCAACCTTGTGGGCATGTCCTTTCATCATCCAAGCATGCCTTCTTTTTAAAGATCTTTGTAATTCCAACTAAAATTAACATGGTGATAAAGGAAAAAAGAAGAGAAAGTATAAGAAGAAAAGCCAGACTTAGTGTAAAATATTTTTATATATTTCTCACTTACATATTTTACTTTCACATTCAGTTTGAATGATTTAACTTTAGACATCAACTCAGAGGGATGTTTGATTGAATATAAAGGACAACTGAATACCAAGAACAAAGTATGAGGGAAATTAACATTGGAGAATGAAGGAAATTAGCATTGGAGAATGAAGACCTATGCATAACTGAAAACAGCAATAAAAACAGGCTTCCAAACACTCAACATCCTGTAGTAATACTCTTTCCTATTCTTTATGCGTTTGGAATCTTCCTTATTTAGTCATCTCCTTTCCTATAATTTAGTAAGTCATGTTGGACAAATTTCACTGGAAATAAATTTCTCTATATTCAAAACCTGGTTCTCTATCATCTACTGAAGTGAGATTCTACTGTCTTCCAAAGACAGCATTTGTCCTGAAATTGAAGCTGTTTCTCTGTCCTTTGTTCTTAAACAAAATAACAGAGGAAGGAGAAAAACGGTTGAAATTTTACTACTGTTTTACAACATCTGTCTACTAACTTATTGCCCTAGTTACTCACACCTGAGAAACTGACTCATAGCCAAACCTGTGAGTGGGAAGTCAGATGGAAAGATAAATTAACAGTGTGGTTCTGAACATGAGATCTAGTATGAATGCCAAGTAAAAACTTTCAGGTCACTAAAATTATTTGAAAGTATCAAGTTCAAAATTATTTTAAAATGCCAAATTCAAATCAATAACAAATATAAAAATCAAGTATTTGGTTCAAAACATAGGTCACTAGAAAGCCAGTTTTATTATTCACTCACTGATTTATTCAGTCTTTCATCTATTTGTTCAGCAACTACCAGTTGAACATTGGCTACATGCCAGACATTTTTTGTAGCTAAAAGAATACAATAATGTACATGAAAAAAATCCTTGTTGTGAAACTTCCATGTCTGAAATTACACAGTTTGTCATAAAATAGATCAGAGTGAAGGGGAGCAGGGTTCTTGTAATTTAGCATAGGATAGTTTGAAATGAGAAGAGTATGTTTAGTAAAGACTCGAAGGAAGTGGGTTAGGGAGGTAGGTACACCTGCAGTGGAAGATGTCTCTAAGCAGTTGAAAAAATATTGCAGAGAACTGAGGTGAAAGTCATCAATAGTGAAGATGTCCACATCCTTGTTTGTTTAACCAGGTGAAATAAGTACATGATTTCAGAAAGGTAATGGGGTGACTAGATCCAATGAGGCCGTTGGCAGGGTTTTGGATTTACTCCAAGTGAGTGGAAAACCACTGCAGAATTTTAAATAGCCACTAGCCTCATGTGGATATTGAACTCTTGAAATGTGGTCTAAATTCAAATGTCCTGCAAATGTAAAATCCACACAAAATGTAATCAGTGCAAAAAAAAGAATGTAAAAATTGCACATATACATATTATCAGGAACTGAACTCATAGCCTTGCTCTGCAGGTGTTGCACCACTTGAACCATGTCCACACCCCTTTTTTGATTTAGTTACTTTTCAGGCAAGAGCTCATGTTTTTACCTGGGGCCAACCTCAGGCTGTGATCCTCTGACCTATGTCACTCAGGTAGCTGAGATCACAGACACGTACCACCATGCCCAGTTTATTGGTTGAGATGGGGGTACGGGGCAGGAGAGTCTCACTAACTTTTAGCTGGGACTGGCTCAAATGGCAATCCTTCTGATCTCTGCCTCCCCAGTAGCTGGAGTTATAAACATGAGTCATGTACCCAGCTCTCACTAATAACTTTTATATTGTTCCATGGTGACATGATAAATGTATTAGCTCAGTATTCTGGACTAAATGAAAATATAATTTGAATTATTTTTACTCACTTCCATTTACTTTCTTAGTGTGGCTTCTAGAAATGTAAATTGCATATACACACACATATATATATATATATATATATATATATATATATATATGGATAACATGTTGACTTGCATTATATTTTACTGGATAGTGTTCCAGATCAGGGTTAAAAGAGAGATGGACATTTGGAACAGATGGATGATGGCTAGGTATAGGGTGCTAACAGTAGAGAAGGTGAAAGGGCTCAGATTCTGCTTGTATATTGAGAGTACACAGAATTTGCCAATTATATTTAACAATGAGAGGGGGAAAGGTAAAAAATGTTTATAAGGCTTTTGGCTTTAAAATTGGAACAATAATTTACTATTTCCTAAGAAAAGGAAAACAACAGATAGGGAAGGTTATAGAAGAGAGGTTAAGACTTCAGCCTAGTCAGATATGACAGGATATTTCTGTAATTCCAGTTTGGGAGGCAAAGGCAGGAGGATGAGCAGTTCAAGGCCAGCCTGAGCAAAGTTAGGGAGACCCTATCATGAAACAAAATAAAAACAGAAGGGCTGGGGGTGTGACTCAAGTGGTACCTAACAAACACTCAGCTTGTTAGTGCTTGCCTTACAAGCTGAGATCCCTGAGCTCAATCCCCAGTATCATAAAATAAACAAGCAAATAACAACTCTTACACAATACACTTAGCAATTTGGGTTGTGCGTGAAGTCCAGAGGTACAGAAAATGTTTATCATGCAGGAGGCCCTGAAATCAATCCCCCACAGAGAAAGAAAAGAGAGAGTATTATAAAAATTATTTTTAAAAACTACAAAAATTTTTCAGGGAGGTATAATATGAAGTAGAAAAAAATGGTAGCTAAAGGAGTGGGGTCTAATGAGTTTTTTACTTGTTTGCTTTTGTTTTCATTTACTATTGGGATTATAGATAGCACCATGTTGTATAGTGGATGGAGATTTTTAATTGAGCATAAAAATGACATAAGGGAAGACAATTACTTGAGTAATTTACTTATCAAGTAAGATGATACAGGACCTGGTGTAGAGCACGAATACTCCACTGAGAATACCAGATGTCTAGACAGTAGAGTAGGTGAGGTGTTGGGAGCATTTGAAAGTTTTATGCTCCCATTAGAACATGCTGGAATCAAGTGTAAAATACTGATGGGAGTGAGAAGGATAGCATACTATGGAAACTCAACAAATTCTACTTTTTACTTATTTTTAACTGTGTTATCACTGCACTTGGTATGATTATCTGACACGCATGTTCTATGGTATTCTTTGATAAATTCTTACTTGACCTTAAGATTCAATGTAAATACCTCTCCCTTCCTAAAGCATAATGTGAATATCACAAGCCAACCTATAACCTTCATTTCTTCTGCTTCCCCTTGAACATATTTCTATGTGGCAATTTTTTTTCTTCTGTTAGAACCCTTTATATATGTGCCTATTTCTTCAGGCAAGAAATCCCTCATTTCCATTTTTTGAATCATCAGCAGCTAGCACTAAACCTGAGCTCAACAAATATTTATTGAAAGACTGATCTTCTATTAGGTAAATTAGACAAGTAAATTTGAAGAGCAATTAGGTGCTCTGGCTTGGAGAACATGCTCAAAATAAGGGAAGAAAGGGCTAGTCACTGGTATCAGACTGGATTGGTAATGATACTATCAATATTTTTAGAAGTCACTCACTTACATTTTCTAGGAAATCTTAAAATCCCCCAAAGAAGAAATGCAAGGCTTCCACATACCAAACTCGAGATGATTATCATTTTTTTTGCTTCTATACATAAGGGAAACACAAGTCATTATCTTCTAGAGAAAAACAATACTCAAACAAGCAAAAAACAAAAACAAAAACAAAAAACCAAGTACTGTTATCTCTATTTTCTGTGTGTTCTCCTAGTCACAGCCCCGTAATTAACATATTAGAAAAGTAAAAATGGGTCCTAGGTGTAACCTTTCCACAACAGCTGCCGTGGCCCCACTTTTTCCAGTCATTTCCCAGAACTGTTACTCATTCTTTTGCCTTGCTTGCAGAATTAAAAAACAAATTTCCCCCTAAGGTTTTTTATTTTTTATTTGTATATAATAGTTGTACAGGGGTGGTACATTGTAATATTTACATATGTATTTACAATGTATCTTAATTAGATTCATCCTCTCTCCATCATTCTCCTTTATCCCTCCTTCCCCCTTCTTAGAACAATTTCAACAGGCTTCATTGTTTTATTTTCATACATGAATACAAAAATACACCCACCATATTCACCCTCCTTTACCCTCTCTGTTTGCCCTCCCTTCTTCCACTGATATCCACCCTCAGACAGGACATTTTACCTTCCTGTACTTCATTTTTTTTTTTTTAACTATTGAACCAAGGTGGTTCGCCTTGGCATTTCAGGCATGTATATATCATCCTTTAATCAGATTAAATCCCTTTATTAATTTCTCTTTATCACCCTCTTGCCCTATTATTCAGCAGCTTACAGAAAATGCTGCGTTTTGCAAGCAGGGGAAATCTGGTGAGGAGAGGAGTATTTGCCTTTTTAAAATGTCTTTGTTTTGTCAGGAGGACTGCTTTTACTTAAGGTCTCTATGGTGGATAGTACCCTCTGCCTTATCCCTCCTCTCAAAAGCAAAGCGTCAAGATGGGATCAGGAACAGCACCCTTTCTCAACTGCGGACAAACTACATGCAGCCCCTTACCAAAGCTCTTGGTCTTGGGAGCCTCAGTTTTCGTCCTATCTTTATTCTCTTCTTCCTGCATTTCTCAGAGAAGGCGCTTCTGCGGTCCCAAAGGCTGAATATAATGGGGAGGGGGCAGTAGTAAAAATATCAGCTAATTAATTCTGGTGATTGCAAACCTCTGGAATCAGGACCCAGTTTTCTCTAAATGGAAAACAGCGTAGCAACCTAGCATCCTCAGCTCAGTCCCCCAGAGAACTAGGGCCAGGTGGTCTCATCCAGTCACCTGGCCACCTGACCTTCTATAAGACCGGACAGTAACGGTAGTTGACGCACCAACGGGCTCCAGCAGGGAAGGCTCAGGATTGGCTGGGGCCCAGTGATGACTGGGAATTCAGTTTCTGATTGACACCTCACCTCCTACCAGAAAATGGGTGGTAATTGACCTTCCCTAAAAACAGTCTCCCTAAAATTCTACCCTTTGATACAGTTATAAAACTTCTGAATTGTCTGTACATTAAGCTCTTACGTATTTTCTTGAACCTTTTGGTGGATCTCCCCTTCCCCCTTTCTTTGGCGTTTTTTTTTTTTTTTCTTATTTTTAACATATTTTTTTCCTGGTCTACTATTTTTAAGTTCTGAGGATTTTTTGATTTAGTTTTTGTTTTTTTTTGCAGTACTGGGGCTTGAACTCAAGGCCTTCACCTTGAGCCACTCCAACAGGCCTATTTTTGTAAAGGGTTTTTTGAGATAGGGTCTCCTGAACTAACTGCGCAGACTGCTGGCTTGGAACTGCGATCCTCCTTATTTATCTCTGCCTCTTGAATAGCTAGGAAGTTTTGAGTTTTAAGCCCACTTGCAGACTGTGTTGTGAAATTTGGTGAAGCAAAGCCATTGTTTTTACATGTTTCCATGGTAACTGAATAAAGGTTTGTTTCAAATGTTAGCAATATTCACTTTACACAGAAGTGCAGAACAATGAAAACTGCTGTATCTGCTGAAATCATGCAGAATGGTTGTAACAATGGGCAAGTATGATGCTTTTCCTGACCTTTAACTTTTTATCCTAAAACATTGAAAACTTTCTTACTACTGCTAATTAAATGTACAGGGGAATTTAAAAACCAGGAAAAACTAGTGCTTTGAAGTACACTATAGTTACAACATAGTAAAAACATCGATAATTCACGTGTTTTACTTTTCATAAAAAGAATAAAATAAAGTTATGCCAGGTGTGGTGGTGCATGCCTGTAATTCCATGCAAGAGGACTACCGGGCAATGAAATTCTAAGAATGAAATTCTATAGGACCCCAAACACTGAAGAGGAACCATCTCAAGGAAAGTATTTTTAGTAGGACACAAGTTTCAACCAAACCGGATGATTTCTGAAAACCTCATAACAGTACCTGGTAAGAGAAAAAACCTTCAACAGTATGCATCTGAAGTTTTGTTGCTCTCCCCCAAGAGGAGCCAAAAAGAGAAAGAAACAAATAGAGGCTAGGGGAAAAGAAGGAAACAGCACACTCCCTTCTCTGCAGGCTCAGGAAATGTAGGGTTTTAAATTGAAATTTGAGTTTGGGTATAATCATTTGGAGTTTTGATGCTGCGCTAAGCATACCAATTTCTGATATGAGACTGAAAAGGACCATAAAAAACTTTGGAATGGATCTCAAAATATTCAGGTGTGGGAAAGTCAAATCTAAGCCTCAGAATGAGCTTACTGAAATAAAGAATAAAGTAAACTTTGTGTGGACACATTGAACTATAGCCCTTTTTTTTTTTTAGTCTTTTGTTTTGTTTGTTATTGAGACGGATTGCTGCCTAGGCTGGCCTCGAATTCACAATCTTCATGCCACAGTATTTGGAGTGCTGAGATTATAGACCTGCACTGCCACTCTTGGCCTTGAACTATAGTTCTTTTTTAAAACACCAGGTTCATCTGTTTTTTTATCCTCTGGTCCTTACTTGTGCATTTTTAAATTTTCATAAATGTGACTGAGGTCTATAAGTTAGTAGTTCTTCCTTGACCATAACGTAACAGTATCATTTCCTGTTGGATAAGAAGAAATAGGAACAGAAACTAAAAAATTTTCCAGTCTTACAAATTACTTTTTTAAAAATAAATATGATTTCTGGAACCTCAAGGCTTCATTGGAGTTTCCCGTTTATTTCCTAAGGAAATACTACCTCTTTGCTCAGAATATATTACCTATTTTAAATCTTTAAATCACTGTATATGCTCACAATCTTTCCTGTTTTGCTCATGTTTTTTCTAGCATTGAATTTTTTTTAAGATTTTTAAAAATTCATTTATTAATGTTTTAGATACAAAGTAGAACAAAAATATATTATTGGTAGCTACATCTTGTGAGATTTGGAATTCAATTTCCTTGAGATGCAAGAATCAATGATAAGGAATATAATGGTCTAGGCAGAGCCCACAGTAGCTGTTGTACAATGATCAGAAGATGGTCTGTGGCAGGCTTGGTTGACTGGAAACATTGCCTTCACTGGCTTCATGCCCCAGGACTACTACATCAAGTCTGTGGGGCACTTGTTTCCTGACACATCTTTGAGAAATAAGGAAAGTCAGAAATGGTCAAAATAGGACCAAGCATTCTGGTGCATAATAAGTGCTTCAGCTTTTTATGTTGTTGTGGTGGCATGGATTTAAGAATCTGTGCTATGAAGTTTCTTTTACTAGTAAGCCTATTTTGCAGAAACTTCAGTAGCTATATTCTTACTTCATTTAGTGTTAAATTTAGATTATGAATGTGTCCTAAAGGCATAAATTATGTGTTAGAGGTTAACTCTCCAGGGTGGGACTATTGAGTAGTAAGTGAAATCTGTGCGCAGTGTGGTCTAGTGGGAGGTCTTTGGAGGAATGCCTTTGAAAAGGATTTTGAGATGCCAGTGCCTTCCTCTTTCTGTTTTTTATTCATTTATTTTTTGGCTTCCTGGTTATGAAGTGTGTGACTTTGATTTACCACAAGCCCAAAATCAGTCGGCCAACCATTCATAGACCAAAACCTCCAAAACTATGAGCAAAAGTAAACATTTTTCTCTTCATGTTACCAGTCAGCTGGCTGGGATCCTTGCGCTCTGCTCAGATATCATGAGTAGGCAAGGAATAACCAATTCTGCTGTTTGGTAGTCCTGAGCCCTTGAGTGTCAAAGGCTTATAGTCTATGCTGACAAACCCAGAGGCTTATGGCTCCAAGCAAACCCCGAGAACTAGACCCTATAGGTCTAGGCCTTAGACTTACAGTTTTAGAAGGTCAGGTTATAGGCTTTCTCCTCTAGAGTCTGATTGCCAGCAGTCTGGCACTAAGCACTTAGTGAAATTCTTGGTTTTAAGCATCAGCATCAGCAATAGCAGGCAGCTCCTATAACAACTAGTGATACAACATTCTGGCTTAGGGTGTCATATCTTTGGCCCTTAAGGCGTGGTGGCTCCCTGGTATTTTTTCTATGAGTAGGGCTTGCAGTTTCTTATCTGTGGCTGTGAAAAGCCACAGATTTCTATTTTAATTCATCCTTGGCTCTCCACCATGTCTACTCCCCACTGTGTCTGTCCCTGACTGCTGTCTGGAACTCTTCTTCTATCCTCTTCTACCTACCACTGCCACTGCTACTGATGCTACCACTTATGCTGTTACTGCTATTATTCCACCATCTTCTCTTCATGTTACCAGCTCAACTCCCTTTACTGATAATAAAATATCAAAAATAGGCAAGAAAAGTCATTCAGAAGAAGCTTTTTTATTGGAGCTAATGTAACACTAGGGGAGGGCAACACAGGAAGGTGTCTCACAGCTAACTCCAAAAGTGAGCTGAGCAACCTGCTTATAGAGCCTGAAGGCGGGGAGGAGCAAGGGGGTTTGCACCAATCACAGTACAGTCCTTCATGCAAATGAACCCAGAGTTGTGCTTCAGCTGCAAGTGGCTGTGGTTGTAATGCAGCTTCCTCAAGGTGTCCATGGAGTGTTCACAGCAGGAGTGTAGTCTGTCCAGGTACAGAGGGGCTGCTTGGCTGACAATCCTCTGCTCAAGGGAGTCAGACATAAAGGAAGGGCCTATCAAATGATCCCACTCTTGAAAGTGTTAATCATTCACAGAAAACATTAAAGAGTGGTTTACAATAAAAACTTAATAAAAGCCAAGGCTGGGAATGTGGCTAAAGTGGTAGAGCACCTACTAACAAGCATAAAGCTCTGAATTCAAACCCCAGTATCATCAACAAAAAACCAAAACCAAACATACCATACCAAAACAAAGCATAACAAAACCTCAACTACTGCCCCAGTGTCCCAGGGAGCAGTAGGTGCCTTGATCTATCTCATTTACAAGTTGATTACCTCAGATATTTTGTCATAGTAATAAAAAGATGACTAACATATTCAACAATCTTTCTGTAACTTCTGAAGGCTAGGGCTTAGAGTAGCAGGCAGATATTCTATAAAATAAACACAATACATTTCCTCATGCCTCTCAGTCATTTAGAAAATGTTAATTAGGTATATTTGACACACATACTTGACAAATGCTATGAAAAAAGCATGAGAGTGGATAATGAAAAGGTTTATCTATGTGTGTATAAGTATAGAGAGATAAAGAGAGTATACTCTGTGGGGTATTGAGAATAAATCTCCCTTTCCCACTAACAGAAATTTAATCCCTAAATTAGTCTTCATTTCTCTAGGGTTTATTTATAGACAGCATGACCATATTTAGCAGCTTAAAGTGCAGGATTCTCAGTTAAATTTGGATTTCAAATCAATAACAAATATTTCAAAGATGAAAAATACAAACATTGTGTGATGAGTACTTGCATTAAAAATAAATAATTTTACTTGAAATGCATATTTAATTGGTATCTCTTATATTTTATCTGTCAACCTATTACAGACACAATTTTTCTTATCTTTAAAATTACTTAGTATTCCAGTGCTTGGTTTGGGGTTTTACTTAAACTTCTCTGTAAAACTTCAGGTAGTGAGTGATACAATGCAGGTATCTAACACAGGAAAGGAATGTGCAACAAAAGAAACATGTATATAGTCAAATCCTCACACTATATACCTTCAGTATTTTCAATATTAAACATTTAAAAGGGAAAGAAGGAGGGAAGGAAGGATGGAGGGAAGGAAGGAAGGAAAGAAGAAGGGAAGGAGGGAGAGAGAAACAGAGCGAGGGGTGAGTTCCTTCATTTCAAGGGTGAAAGGGATCTAGAGAAAATTTTGTAGGAAGAGTCAACATTAGAGTTGGAGAAGCAGGACCTGAGAATCTAATGCAAGGTAGTTATTGGGAAGGTAAAAGAAACACTAAAAGAAAGTAGAGAATTGAGAAAGTTACCATTGTGAATAACCAGAGCTTAAGTAAGCGGGCAATTTCTGGAAGCCGTTTGAGTGCAGTAGTGAGGATGTTTTCCTGTCCATCTCGCAGGAGTATAGAAATCTTTCTGTTTTATTTCCCCAGCTGCTCTGTTCCCAGTGTTCCAAGGCTTTTGCTCCATAAGGGAGACCTTTCCAGGCAGGGCTTCCTGTCATTGTTACAATGACTGCTGCTCCACTCTTCAGCAATATAGGGAAAACTTTATGAAGTCTTCTAACTTGTTTTAAGCCTTTCAGTATTCATTGAGGCCTGGAAAGGGGCTGCAAGTGACTATGATTTACCTCCATGCCTGCAGTTCCCCAGTGTTCTCTATTCCTGTGCAAACTTGTACTCTGCCTTAAGCAACTAGTTAAAGCGATTTACCTGAATGCCTTGTAACAGCATGATAAGCAAGATTTCATGTTCCCTTTCCCTTTGAAAGTGGCTACCCTTCCCTATTTTTCAGCTTAGTTCATTGCCTTATAACCTCACATCTCTCTCTCTTTTCAAATGGTTTCATTATCTTTTGAATTAATATACATTAATATTATGAGGTAATTTCTTTGTAGTAATTCCATACATTTCATACAATGTACTTTGAAAAAGTTCTTTCCTTCCATTATATTCACACTCCTCCCTCTTTTTTCCCTTCCTTTTTCAAACAATGTTTGGTCAGTTTTATTATGCTGTCTTCAAACATACACATGTAGTATATTTTAATCCTCTTTCTTTCTCAGTGTCCTTTCCTTCTCCCCTTCTATTGATCCCCTCAAGATGGTCCCCTTTCATATCCCATTATTATAATTATATTATTATTATTATCACCATTTTAAGTCTAGTTTCCAAACATAAGCAAGAACATACAATATTTGGCTTTTTGAGTTTGGCTTATCTCACTCAACATGATGTTCTCCAGTTCCATCTATAGTTCTGCAAATGGCATAATTTCATTTTTCTTTATGGCTGAGTAATATTCCATTATATATGTCTCTCTATATATATACCCATATATGTGTACACATACACATACATATATACACACAGCATATTTTTTTCTGATCTCTTTTAAGAAAAGTTATGAACTTGTAGATTATCCAGCATTAGTTTGTTCTTACAAAAGCGGGAGTGCTGAGAATAACTAAGTCTTCCCCTTCCCCTCTAGTTGCCCTCTGCTATGGTGGTCCAGCCTCATAGTTCTTACACATTGAAGGGTTTGCTTATTGACTGGACCAAATAGTCTACGGCCATACCTCCCTGAACGCGCCCGATCTCGTCTGATTGGACCAAATAGCCTCGAAGTCAAGACTAGAGACTAAGAATTAATTTGTGCAACATTTATCCGTTCAGTTTTAGCTCCTGCTAAGTTTCCAAAATAACTGGGTACAGTAGGGAGGTCAGGGCTGTTAATTGGTATAACATACTTAAAGAAGGGCTCAGGTGATGGATTCAGACACATCCTACAGATGTGTGGTGTCTGGTAGTTTCTATGGTGAAAATTATGAGGTAGCAGAATAAGGGAGAAGCAAGATTTTCCCATGTTATACTTCCATGACCAAATGCTTAGAATTTAGTCCTTCATCATGGCAGCAGAGGAGTTGCTGACTCATCAGTTATGCACCTAACCTCTCATATGAAAACATCGGTCTGCTCACTGAAGTCCACCCAGACCTGCCCCATTAATGCTCATTGTGCAAGAGAATGGAGGGTGAGGGGGAAACTAAGCAACATCTTTGCTTCTGCATCTGTGATATTTTCCTTTAACAAATCTTAGATTTCAGAAAAGTTGATGTGCACGAGTTGTTTGATAATTATACATATACGCATGCACACATGTACTCAGTAGGTTTTACACAAGAATAAGATGCAGATTTCCAGTTCCAGCCATAGAACTGTATCAGATGAAACCACCTACAAAAAATTATAAAAGTAGGGTAAAATTCATTAAAAAATGAAAAGACAAAACTTGAGGGGCTCCAACTGATCAAGACTTACTGCTTATATAATTCCTGCTTGCCAGAAAAAAAATGATAACTTCTTTGTAATGACATATCATTCAGAATCTCTATTATTTTTAATGTGGAATGCCTGACATTGATTAAGCAATTATGAGGTATCCTAAAGAGAAAACTAAAAGAGGACTAAACAGAATAATACCCACTGACAAGACATAACATACAAACTGACCTATGTGTGCTTTAGATTCTAAAAATATCAGATAGGGATAATGGTGTGTGTGTTCAAGTAAATAGAGAAAATTATAAAGAACTTCAACCCTGTGAAAAGCACTGAATTTCAAAATAATTTAATACAGAGACATCAAGACGGAATCCAAGAATGAAAGTTTAATAAGGACAAAGTAGCCATTGGTGTCAAGTGGTTCTACAATGCTTAGTTAAAATAAAAGACATGTTCAATGAACATAGTGAAAAGATGGACTTTGTTGAGCTAGGTGAGACTATTTTCCTAAATGAAAGAGAAGAATTCAGTTTGGATTGGATCAATGAGATTTACAAAGTAATTAATTAATCACAGACTCACAGCACAATTTATTAATCTCTATGGCATTCCTTACATGTCTTCTGATGGTGAAACTCATTTCAAGGCAAAGGAAATGTGGCAGAGAATGACAATTCAATGAACTTTGCATGTGCCCCATGACTCAAAGTCAGCTAGCTTATTACTACATAGGAATGACTTGAATACTTTTCTTAAGACTTAGACACAGTTAATCTGGAAGACAGTACTTCAGAAAATTGGGCTGCTTCCTTATAACTTATTGTATATGCTTCAAAATAGCAGTCAAAATATTATGTCAACCCACTGTATCCTGAATATTATGTCTGGGAAACAGAAGTATAAAAGTAGTAGTTAGTGCTCTGTGTATTACATGTGAAAGCACACATAAAGAATTTTTGCTTCTTGTTTGCCAAACTGTTTTGATGTCTTTGGAGGTCCCAGAACCAAAGGTTTGTAATGTTTCCCATCAGAGAACATAGTCATCGTTCTGCTGAATTATAGATTGACAGTGGACAGTTCTCCAACTATGTGCTACTTATGCTCCTAAAGCAACTGTAGTATTGTTAAAATGAAAAATTAAAATGCCAAATTCAGCTTGGGTTGTAGCTACACAATGAAGCAAGCAAGAGTCTATGTGGAACCCAAGAAATAAGAGAGATACATCTGTGCTCCTTTTATCCATAAAATAGGCCAGTAGAAAACTATAGTGGTCCTATGTAAACAGGGTTACAAAAGACTCCAGGCCTATGAAAATGGACATGTGAATTAAATTAAATTTGTGATCAAATTAAATGTTTTAGAATAATAAAAAGGTCTGGAAGAGGATAAGAGGAGAATGAAATAGGTGATGAGAAAAAATAGCTGATTCTGGTTGAGACCTCATAGTAAGCTCTGTGTGGAAAGACTATAGTAGCAATGTGTTTTTGGTAACGATTTTTTCCCTTTGATCTGCTTATAACCATGCTACCATATATGAATTGCAATGGTGATAGATACTATTACCATTTGGGAGTGTGACTGAGTTGGTATTAACCCACAGTGATTTGCTTGCTGATAGGATTTTGTGTGTCCTTATATTTGTTTTTCTTTTGTAAAAAGCTAGAGTGGATTCTAAGGACAGAACAGATTAACTATGTAGGATAATCTGTTTGGTTATCTACATCTTATGAATTTCCCATTATTCAATTCTCTTCAAACTGTCCCCATTATTCTCTATAGATCCTAACTGTGGGCTCTCTTTTTTTGGTACCTAAGTATATCACTGATATGGCAGTCTCTTAACTCTTAAAATTATCTGACTCAGAATTTTAGGCACTGTGTACTCTGTTCACCTTTCTTTTTCTTTCCCTTGCTCCCATTTATAACCCATAAAAATATAAGTAATATATAGATCATTTTTTCATTTATGTTTATTACTGAAAGACATTTATAGTTATATTTGCAGATAATGTGTTTTTATTCTATTAGAATAAAGACCACTACAGGGTGTGTGGGACAAAGTATTAAATAACCTCAGATCTCAGTTTATTTATACGGAAATAAATATTTTAGCTAATTCTTATATGGGGCTTATTTGTACAAATACATTGGTTAAATAAAATCCAGTGGACTTTTAATTTTTCATTTGTTGCCCTTACCAATGAACCACATACTTTTCAGTCTATAGTGGTGATCCATTAAACAATCTTCCATTTGAAACAACAGATCAAAATACACAGCAGGGCCCTGACTATGTAGCGGCTCCCCCTCACTTTCCCTCAAACTAAGACAAGTTTATTCCATTCATTGTTTATTCTTTCAACTTATATTTAGTTAGGCTCTATGTAAGAGGTTGGACACTAAACTAGATTATTTTTATTCTCATTACACTTGAAATATATTCTTAGTTTTAACAATATGGACATTTATCAGCTAGAAAAAGATAGGAAGGAACGGAGGTAAGTAGGTAGGGAGGGAGCCATATGTATAGCACTATAAATCAATAACCTCTATCTCTAACCATATTTTGTTCTTCTAAAATAAAAATATAATTTTAGATAATTAAAAGGTAATTCCTCCCAAGAAAGAAAAAAGTATCCTGTTATTAGTTGATGTCAATTTTCCTATTAGTATTCATCTTTCCCTATCAATTTGTATAACTTCTTTGTAAATTTAAAAAATTAGCCCCTCATCTTTCATGACCTATAATATATATATATAAATATATGTATGTGTATTTACATTTTTTCAGTTAACTTTGGGTATTTTTATTTTATTTTGACATGTAAGCATATTTAATTTTTATATTGTCAATTGTGTCCATCTTTAGTGACTTTTCCTGTCTTCTTTAGAAACATCTTTCCAATTCAAAGACAATAATAGAAACTGTGCACTGGTGGCTCACACCTGTAATTCTAGCTATTTGGGAGGCTGAGATTGAGGTGGGTTCAAGGCCTGCCTCAACAAATAGTTCATAAGACCCTATCTCCAAAATAACCAGAGCAAAATGAATTGGAGTTGTGGCTCAAATGGCTGTGTACCTGCTTTGTAAGTATGAAGCCATTAGTTCAATCCCCAGTCTCACACACACACACACACATTTGTGCCTGTGATAATTTTCTTTATTTTTAGTAGGTCTTTTATAAGCTCTTTTTGTTTAATTTTAATATGTGTCTTAACATAATAAAGAAGTTAATATTTTATCAAATTTCTTTAAAAAACTTTCCATTCTCTTTTACATTATCCGTTGCATATTATTTACATGTAGCTATACTACTAAGAATTTTAAAGGAAGATTTATTAATGAAAATTAAGAGAAGACTTGCTCAAAAGCAATCTTTGCTCAACCTCTACTTGAAACTGATCAAGAAATGTGATTAAGAATACTAAGAGTACTGAGTCAACCTGATAGGACACAAACCTGGCTGACCTTGGATACTCATTTCTTTTCTCCTTTTGTTAGTTTAGTGATATGGCTCTTATGAGTTGAATCAATCTGTGGAAAGACAGTAAGGCTGATCTCAGTCTTCCTGGTGGCAAAGCTGTTCACAGAGCCCTCATGCACAGATATTTACTATTAGCATGTAAACTCCTGGTGTAGCTCCTGGCCCCATATCCCTAAATATTTTTCTTGTTACCTAAGGAAACTAAGCATTCCAAAACCCCAATTAAGCTAACCTATACCTAGAAAACAGGTTGAAGGAATGGTCCTCTCTCTCTCACTCTTTTTGGAAGTCCTCTCTGTATACGTTCAGTCTCCTGGCTAATCCAACCTTTCTCTGGGGATATTGGCCATTATAAACCCAGAACAGCTAAGCTATGCCACTGCTGTGGACCAGGGAATATTTAGAGAGATCATCTTTTTTCATTACTTCTGTGTTGAAAATAAATTGAGTGTAATATCCACACCACTTGGTGCTAATGACTTGTGTGCCCTGGCATGATAGCTAATAATATTGTACAAATACTAGTTCAGATGCTGTTATGTAGCTGGCATATATGTAGAAATGAGAAAAAGGAAGAAATATGAGGAAGAAAGATATTTCCTCTTTCAACAGTGTCTATTCCTGTCTGAGGCCACAGATGAGGGGCAGCTTATTGGCAGATGTGAGAAATGGGAGACTGGTACTATAGGTATAAAGCAAAGTTCAAGCTTGTAAGTGTGAGCTTCAGTTTAAAAACGGAAGTTAAAATTGCAGATTCTCCTCAGTATTCAACTGCTAGCTCTCCCTCGCCTTTTCTGAAAAAAGAAAAATATTTTGTTGAGCTTTCTTTGCATAGTCATCAATGTCTGAAGAAGTTACTTATGCAAATCTAAAATTCCAGGACTCTGGTAGGACAGAGACTGTTCAGAAGCTTGACAGTTTTGAGACAAACGGTAAGATTTTGAGCTATGAATGTGTTGTAAAGTGGTAGAATTTGTTGTAGCCCACATCTCAAGTACTAGTGAATTGATAGTGATACTGGTATTAGTCAATTTGAATTTTTACTTGTCTTTCATTTTTTCCAAAAGTATCAAAATGGTTATGTCTTTTTTTAAGCATTGACCACTGAAACTGAATGCAATCATTTACAAATTTTCTACTTTTTAATTTTGCACTTCAAGGCATTTGGAAGGGAGTCATATTTTCAGATGACTGAGTTTTGTAAAGTGTTATGAAATAGAGACCGTTTGTTGTCCAGGAAAGTCATGGGTATGGGTTTTTTAGTTTTATAGGTTTTTAATAGGAAAATGCTTGTATGTGTGTATGTGTGTGTGTGTGTGTGTGTGTGTGTGAGAGAGAGAGAGAGAGAGAGAGAATGAGATTTGAAAATATTACCTTTGGCCACTGACTGCCAATTCTTCACCTCTCCTCCCCCTCTCAACCTACTCTATTAGGCTTCTTTTCTGTTCATGGACACTGTCCTTGTCTAGGTCACTAATGGCCTCCCTGTTTAATCTCAATAGTCATATCTATAATGTTGTATTGCTTCACTTTTCTGTAGCATTCATAAAGTTGAACAGTCCTTTTTTGCATATTTCTTTCTTTGCATGTTCTTCCAGACATATCCTCATGGTTTCTGCTTTCCCTATGGCTGTTCTGGAGTTTTTTTGTTGTTATTGTTTGTTTGTTTCATTTTGTTTATTCTTTCCTCTAGATCAGACTCTATTTAATGGAATATTCCAGATTTTCTGAGTTCCCTTTTCTTATGTCACCCACTATACTCTTGTAAGTTTCTTCATTCAGTCACTTGGCTTTCAATACAATGATTTTCAGTATCTCATTGTCACGTTTCCCTAGGTATCAAGGCCAGAAACTACAGTACCTATTTCACATTTTCATATGGAATGCTCATTTCATTTCTTTAATTTCTTCAAGTGTCATTTCTCATAGAGGTCATAATTCTTTAGTTACTCTAATTTATTGTTTTAATTTTTTTCAAATAGGTCTTTCCCTAAATTAGGGTCTTTGAACTACATATCCTCGATGTCTATAATGTCTTCCAGTGATTTTCATATTGGTTCCCATTGAGATCCATCTATGCATTGTTCCTTGTCACACTAAGATTTATCACCATGACTATACAGATTTTAAGGCTTTGTTAGTTAATATTATTAGCACTCACAATAATATCTAATAAATACAAGGTACATGATAACTTTTAAATAGTTGAATACATACATAAATGAGAAAATAATTCTTACTAAGGACAACACTTGAATTTGTAATTTTAAATCATAGATAAGATATTGATCATGTAACCCTTTCAAAAATAATGATTTTCCAAAGCATAAAGAAATTGGTTTCATTTTTTATTTTCAGTTCTCTTTGTATTTCAAAACATTATTTCACCATCAACTGTGAGGTGTAAAACATATTTCAGAAGCATCAGGTTATCCTTGAATTTATGCTTGAAATGCTTTCATATGTACACATGATGATAATTTAGATCATATAATGACATCATAATAATTTACAATATAAATTTCATAATCCTTATAGGGAAATGATTTGTTCTGGGATTCACTGTTCAGTAAAAGCAACAACAAAAGGAAGCATTAAATAAGTGTTTTTTATCCTAGCTACTTGGAAAGTGGAGATTGGGAAGACTGTGGTTTGAGACCAACGCAGGTAAAATATTCAGGAGACCCCATCTCAACCAATAGCTAGGCATGGTGCCACACACATGTCATCCCAGCTATGAAGGAAGCTCATAGAGGAGAATTGTAGTTCAGGCCAGGGTGGGCATAAATCAAGACCCTATTTCAAAAATAACTGAAGCAAAAAGGGCTGGAGACAAGACTCACGTGGTGGAGTGCCTGCCTAAAAGTGGGAGGCCCTTAGTTCAATGCTCAATTCTGCCAAAAAAAAAAAAAAAAGTGTTTTGTTAAGGACTTTGAAAAAATATTGAGTTCAAATGAGGAAACAATGTAGATCCAGAGTAAGCCAAAGGGTGATTAGAAGATACCCCGAGACATGAAAAAGACAGCCCACCATTTGGGATTTATAGTTACATGCTCATATTGAATTCAAATGAGGAAACAATGTAGATCCAGAGTAAGCCAAAGGGTGATTAGAAGATACCCCGAGACATGAAAAAGGCAGCCCACCATTTGGGATTTATAGTTACATGCTCAGGATTTTATGAGAATACATAAACAACTGATAAATTGCTTTGTTAAACCATAACTCTGCCATTTAAGGGATGACTACTCAGATTAACTTCTCTGTTAGGTGCCAGCTACTCACTTTCCCCACATTTGGGCAATTGCTTTCTTTCCTCCCCCCTCTTTCTTATAAACTTCCCTTTTGCCTTTTTGTTGCTTGAAACGAGGCTATGAGAACACAGATGTTTCTGACTTACTCTTGAAGAGGATTTTTTTTAATGTCCTTGAGTTTCTAGCAAATTACATTCCTTTATGGGTACATTTTATGAAAGAAATGAAGGCAAAATGGATGAATGAAATTAATGTGTATGCTGTTTCCGGATCTCTGCTAATTTTTGTTTTCAACAGCACCTCCTGCTTCTTCCCATACATGGTGTAAAACAGTCTTGGCTCTGATTCTCCTGTGCCTTCTGCTGTTCATTGGACTGGGAGTCTTGGGAAGCATGTGTATGTATTACTCATTTTGATTAAAAGAGAAAGCATCTACCATTTCATGAATTTCATAACCAAAGTTTATTCTTTGAATTAGGCTTTCTAATAATAATATGTGATATACCCACAAAGAAACCTTATAATGCAGTATGTAACATTGACATAGTGTGTTTCCCTCACTCCCATAGAGTGTCTTATTCCTTATCCCTGAAATTTTTAAAATATTTTTGTGTAAAAATATTTAAGATGATAATTCTATTGAAAGCTTACAAGTTTCTATTTTGTCATTTCTCTCTCTTTCCTTGTTTTTTTTTTTTGATTTGGAGATTATAAACTGCAAAATACCAAAGAAGAGCTTCAGAGAAATGTTTCCCTACAACTGATGGATAACATAAATAGCTCTGAAAAGATCAGAAGCCTCTCTATCACATTGCAAAAATTAGCCACCAAATTGTGTCATAAACTCTATAATGAAGAACCAGGTAATCCTGCATTGCTCTCTGGCTATTTACCAGAAAATGAAATAAACCTTAGAGGCATTTAAGAATCATTCCCCAACAGAACCATTATTTGAAAAAGGAATTAAATATGGTTAATAGAGTCATTGATATTTCCACATAGTTGAAAAACAGATATTAGTGATAATCATATACCACCAAATTTCCAGGTATGACAGTGACATAATGAACAATTAAGACAGCATACAATTTCTCTAGTCTGAAATTTACAGAGATAAATTTAGTATCTCTAATTTAATTTACTATTGAGATCAATCGATAATAGATTGGAAAACATACCTCTTTATAGACAGCTTCATTCCAAAACTTCAGCAAATGATTGATGAAAAAGACCATAGAAAAGAGGTAAATTATCAGTGTTACCCTTGGAATTGGGGGAAAATTGATCTTATAATTCCTCTGTAAGTTTCTGAAGCTTTTGTAGCAAACATGTTCCTTGTGTTCCTCAGAAGCTTCTCTGATATTCAACAAGTCTGAAAGCTCAGACTTGTTGAGAGCTTGAGGTGCACTAGTTGAACAAGGCAGCATTGATGCAGATATGTAGGGCTGATTCTTAACCACACGAAATATTTCGTGAGATTATAAATGAATACAAAATATGACCAAATGAGATTATTCAGTTCTCCTTGTGAAGTTGGATACACTTGAATCCCAGTGTCTAATATAAAATTTTCTGTTCAAGTTTTGTGGTAGACACATTGTGGTGACATATAGATTGACAATACAGTATTCATTTTCTTACCCTTTTACCTAAAAAAAGAAGAAAAACAGTGAATGTGGCAATAATAACAATGATGAGGACTAGTCACAGAAGCCAAATAAAACTATGTTCTTCTTCCAGAGCACCAATGTAAACCTTGTCCAAAGAGCTGGACGTGGCACAAGGATAGCTGCTATTACAAGCATGATAGGTATGCAACGTGGATAGATGGCAACACGTTATGTTCTGCTGAGAATGGCAGCCTGTTGAAGATTAAGAACAACAATATATTGGTAAGGCTCCTTGTCACTCTTAGTGTGAGAAAAGAAATCACTTTGCTATCACAAAATAGGAGCAGGTGGAGCATGCTAGGGAAGACCCATTATCAACCCACTCACTTTTTATTTTAGTTGAGGAGGGAGGTGAGTGAGACCATACACTTATCTCAGAGAATCGCAATCGCAGCCTGAATAAACACCATCCAAGATTAATACAGGGCACCCAGAAACCTCAGGTCTGAGCATTTCCAAGTTAGAAATCAAGAATTGAATTTCTGAAAGTTTACTTGAAAACAGAGGTTCTGAAGGTCATTTCTGAGGATTACCAATTCCATAAAACTGATACTCTTTGTTTCTATCTTCTTATGTTTTTTAATTAAAAGAAGAGGTCAAGTTATAATAGGTTAGCATAAAATATGTATAAATGACTAAAATTAGGATGATATGACAAGAATGAGTGCCAAACAGAAAAATTGCCCTTAGCCATTGGCACCAAGAAAAGTGAATTCTCTCCTGCTTTATTTATTTTTTTCACTTCTTTCTTTCCAGGTCTAAATAACTTCCTATTTCACTTATTACTTAGTATTTCTGGCCACTCAGATAGTAATAACATGTATATATTTTTAGCACAATTGTATTTTCTAAAATCTTAGCTCCTCTGCTGTAAGAAACCTTATCAAAGAAGGAGAAATCAATCCATTTTGTCTTTTTAATTAGATCATTCTCAAATGATTCATTGATATTTCCTCATAGAATGTTTTTATATTGAAAGGTGTAGAGGGTTGAAGTAAGATAATATATATATACGTATATACACATATATATACATATATACATAAATACACATATATATATATATATACATATATATAAAAAACACCAAATACTGTTTGAAAAGAGAAGAGGAAGTCAGAGAGTTAAGGGAATATAATGTAGAAGGTGAACTTACTCAAAGTATACAATACACATTATGGAATTAGTACTATGAAACCCCTTTGCACTATTAATAAATGCTAATAAAAATAGTAAAAGAAATAAAGAAAAGAATCTTAAAATGAAATAAAATTTAATTAAAAATAAAAAGTTAAGTCTGGAATAAGGAAAAAAAAAAACACGTTACCTTGGCTACAAAGGTATTTGTCCCTATGCCTTGCTTCTCTAACTGGGCTGCATTGCTTTTCTACTTCTTTCTTCTTCTGATAATTCTTGTTTAAATTCATTAACTGCTTCCTTTGCACCTGGGCTAAATAGTTATGGCTCAAAGATTTTGATCTGGAAGGCTGTGAACTTCTCATTGACCCTAAGTGAAGATTATACAATGAATTGAGAGGTCCTTTCTCCTTGTGAAACAGAAAGTGATACCTTAAAAATACTAAAATTTTACAACAAGAAGCACTTTCATTTTCTTTTCAATGACATTGAAAAATAGTAATGCAATGCCAAAGTAGTATCTTAAAATAGTAATTTGTGATAAATTACGTTATAAGGTGATGTACAGAAATACGAGACAATTTTTAAAACAGACCATCTCTACTTCCTGTAGGAATTTGTAAAATCAAAAGAGTTATACAACTATTGGCTGGGATTATCTCCCAGAAAAAAGGCCATAGACACTAAGAGAGTAGATGAGAACATTATCTCCTCTGATTGGTAAGTCTCGTTTTTGTGGGTGGGGAGATGTTAAGAATGGAACCCAAGGTCTTGCACATGTTAGGCAAGTGCTGTACCGCTGAGGTAAATCCTCAGCTCCTGGCTTTTTGGGACTTGCTCTGTGGCCCAGGCCAGCCTCCAACTAAAGAACTTTCTGCCTCAGCCTCCTGATTGCTGGAATTGTAGGCGTGTACCCCTTGCTGGCAAGTCTCTATTCTTGTTGATAATTTCTATAATTGGCATTGAGTAGAGAAGTTTTCCTCGGGAGGGTTATAGATTGCAATTAAAATGAGTTTCAATTGAGATTACATCCTTGAAAATATCTTCTCTGTCAGGCTTCTTTGAAATATTTAATCATGCAGAAAATTGGCAAAAATATCGTTTTTATTTTGACAAGTCACTAATAAACTTAGCCAAATTATAGAGATGTTTTTAACACATAATTTTCCATAAGAAAATTATGGAAGTCTACAAATTCACTGGGCTCCAATAAGTGTTTAACATTGTGTTAAGAGTTTTGGAATGATTATATTTGCAATGATATGTGCAGACTGAATAATTCTAGGTATATAAAGAATATGGTACAATAAATACATCACTTAGAATACACAGACTCACCAAGAATAAATTTTACTTTTGGAATTTTTGTTATAACTGACTTTTTTTGGGAGAGTGAGAAAGAGGGAGAGAGACACAGAGAGATGGGATAGAGGAGTGATGAAAAAATGCATTGTGCTCTATATCTGATATTTGAAGTGGAGATTTTTGTGCAAAAATTTAAAGTGACTGGAAGAACATTACAGTATAAAGAATAACAAAATTCAACATGATATATTGCATATAATGTGTAAATCTACTAATATATGTATATTGTATATATGTATATACATAATAATTTGTTGTGTAATTTATTTATGACCATGATTATAAATTCGTTGTATAAGTGGATTTATATATTATATCTGATCTAATTGTAACAGGGAAAAATCATAAAAAGGTGTCAAAAATTCCACTTGTGTCATAATTTCTGAAATTTTAGAAGCAGACAGTAGTAGACTACCTAAAGAAATCAGAGCTGATGTGCTGGATATGTTGGTGGCCTCACATTTATTACATATGAACTGACTGCAGAGACATCAAGCAGGGGCAGGTCAGGGCTACTGGTTGGAATGCAGTGCTGCCGCACTGAGCTTAAATACCAAGATTTCTACCCATTTATCACCACAGGTTTTACAACAAGTAGATATTTTTGTTTTTATCTTCAGCTAGAAATAGGACAGGAATGTGGGTCAGAAAGACAGGATGGCTCTATCTTTGGTGGTTGGCAATGCCTGGACTGAATGGGGATAAGATAGATACAAAGAAAGGGGAGAAGATATATCTTAAAGGTCTCAGCTGGAATGAAGAATTTGAGATAAAGATAACGTATTATCTTTGTGTATTAGTAGAGAGTATGAGTGAAATCTTGCTTTGAAAAAGAAGAATATAAATGTGCCTGCAATTATTAAAAATGGAAAGGTAATCTATAACGGAATGAAAAACTTCATGGTTATTTCAAATTATTAAGAAATAATACTGAAATAAATTATCATATATATGTATCTGTTATTTGTTTTTATTTTTATGCTCTTAATTTTATTTGGGGTTTGTTTCTGGAAGTGGATGATAATAAGTACTGCCTGTACATTGTTACCACAAGCAGAAAATTTCTTGAAATTTTAATTGATGAACTTATTTAATGGTCATTACTTATTGACCTAACCATAGATACTAGATTGAGCATCAATAATGTTTTTAATTTATAAGTTAGTTTTTACTGGATCACTCGATAAACTATCCAGTGTTAAAGGTTGGTAATAAGTCACAACTTCAGAGAAAAATCTCTGAAAAATGGCTAGAAGGAAATGCCACTTGGAGATGATGTTGCACTTAGAGTACCATATATTAGGTTAATTCTCATTTTAGTGATTATTGGAAAATACTTGAGGACGACGGTGTCAAAGATTCACTCTCAGGCCAGTTCAACCATAGAATTTTTCAGTGACATTATTATTTTGGGGGGAGTTGTAGCAGACTTTGAACTCATGGTCTTATACTTGGTAGGCAGCACTCTACCACTTGAACTGTGCCCCCAGGCCCTTTGCTTTTTAGCTTTTATTCAGGTAGAGTATTACATTTTTGTTCTGTGGCTGGTATCAAACCATGATCCTGCTATCTAGGATTATGGACACACACCACCACACACTGCTTGTTGGTTGAGATGGGGTCTCACTAACTTTTTGCTTAATCTGACCTGTAATCATGATCTGCCCACTCTCCACCTCCTGAGTAGCTAGGATGAGAAGCATAAGGCACTGTGAGCAGCCAGAATAGTTTTAAAGTGATATTAGCCTCAGAAGAGATGATAAGTCTAGAATTAAGTGACAGTAAATATTCCACATATGGGAAAATAGAGAAGACAGAGAAGTAAAGTGTGTTTCACTTTGTGTATGTGTCAATAAAAATGATTAACTTGGACACTCAATACTCTAAACGTGAATTCAAATTTACCTTAGACACTGCAGAGTCTAGGAGCAATAATACCATACAGCAAAGTTACTTTTATGTGTATTTTAAATATCTGTCTTTCTAAGTATGCTCTTTGTTTCTCTTTCAGGTTTGAAGGAAACACAAATGTCTTAAATATGACGTATTGTGGATATATACATAAACTGTATGTATATTATGACGACTGCACTCTAAAGAAAAACATCTTATGTGAGAAGAAAGCCAATTCAGTGAAGGCTGAAAGTATGCTAATGAGTGAAGTTCAAGATGAAAGAGTGTAGTTAGTGCAATTGTTTTGCTCCAGATAATATCCCACAATTGGAATGAACTTCAGAAAGCATACATTTCATGTATCACAAAATAATATGACTAAATTTCTGCCTCTTCTAACATTTACGTCTCTCTCTCCTCATTTGCAGAATGTAAAGAAGCTAAGTCACACCTTATCATCTACATACAATCCAGATACATGTTCAGCATAAAAACATAAGTTCTGGGGGTACAAGAATTTGAAGATAACTTTTCCTGCTTTTCAAAAGATAAATCAGGCCAATAACGACCTTGTAGAGAAACCAGAGAAAATTAAATCTGGGAATATATAAAAAGAAAAATACAATATGACCAACATGGATTTATTTTAGTAAAACAGTTTCATTAAAATCTTAAAAAATTAGAGAGAAAAATATATCATTTCAATAGATGTAGAAAAAATTTGATGCTATTTAATACCCAAACATAACAAAAACTTCTAATAAAACTAGAAATTTCCCTAATATATGAAGAATTTTGACATAAAGCAACAAATAAAAAAACCTTAAGGTTATAGTTAACAGTTAACATCATACTACTAGCAAAAGAATGAATGTTTTTCCTTTCAGCTCTAGAACAAGGTGATGGTGATCCTTATTGATCACTCTATTTAACAACTATTATTGTCTATTAGAGTTCCTAGCAGTGAAACAAGGCAAGAAAAATGGATAAAGAAGAAACAAAACATTTTTATTTGTATATAATATAATTATGTATATAAGAACCAATATATGTTTTAATTTTTAGAATAAGTATTATATCAAGATAATTGAATAAAATCTCAATATAAAATCAATCATGTTATGTATTAAAATGAACAAGTGGACATAAATTATAAAGTGTAATCCCATTTACAATAGCAGTCCAAATCATAAAATAGCAATAAACCTAATAAAAAATGTGGAAAACCTCTACATGCAAAAGTTTTGTGTAATTTCCCCATTACTTCCATTTCCAATGTCTGGAAAACTGACATTGCATCTTTGCCCTAACATGGGCCATCTGAGGACCCTTCTATTTTCAGAATTTTCTATAGAGACAGGCAAATACTTAATTGAGAATACATCATTGATTATTTTCTGCCTTTGGCCAACTTCACCTTCTTTCTTTCTCCTCCATAGGTAGCTAGTATAGAAACATACACTTCACATTAAACCCCTTCCTGATAACTTCCAGCAAAGCTTGTTTTACAGAGACCAAACCTGCAATAATGGATAGCAAGAATGGTTCAAATGGTAAGATGAGATGTGGGGCCTGATTTACCTGCTGAATAACTTATAATAAGAAACCCATCACTGCTGTTAAAGGAAAAATAAAAAGATTACCCAGGCATAAAGTTAAAGTTTAAATGTTAAAATCTTCACAAATGGTGACTGGAATGGTGAATGAGTAGAGTCAAGGATGCATTAAAGATATGTAATGGGTGTTTTAAAAATATGAAATAAAAGTAATAAGGACAGGGAAACTGGTTAGCTGTTGCAACTTCAACTGACACATTGTGAAGTGTATCATTAAAAAAAAAATGTAAGTGTGAATATTGCCAGGGCATTAAATGAAAAAGTTCACATCTCATTCAGTTGGAAAGCAGAGAAAAATGAGGAATAATCCTGGGTCTTAATAATAAGAGGGGCAGAATACCAAGGAATTTAATTTTTTTTTTTTCAGAACTGGGGTTTGAACTCAGGGTTTCATACTTGCTAAGCAGGCACTCTACCACATGATCCATTCTTCCAGCAAAGTGTTTACATTTTAACCTGGACAACGCTGTTTTGCCAAAATCAGGCCATGATTGAGAAAACATAAGGTGGGGATATCTTTGATTGATGACCCCAAAATTCTTGATCATCAGATTTTTTTTGAGCTCCCTGAGACTTCAGAATAGAACTATTTCTCCCTCTTAATGGATAATGCTCTATGCTTGCTTAAAAACATGGTAGAGGCTTCACACCATAAGTCAAGATGCATATGCCCCCTGCCCCCTAAAATCTTCATCCATCTATCCTACCCACAAGCAAATAACTAGATACTCTGGTTAGGGTGTGATCAGATCTCATAATGAGAGAGAGAGAGAGAGAGATTGCAGACCTAGTAAATAGGTCACAAGAATAGAGAGACAGACACTTAACTAGACTCTCAGAATATTAGGACAGGGATGGGAGAACACAAAATTTGGTAAAAGAGAGTTTATTGATTTAGATGCACTCTCTTGGGATAGAGTATTTAATAACCTGGCAAGAACTCTAGAAAATGGTACAAACACATTAATAGTATGGCTTTCAGAACTATGGGGAAATAAATTCTCCATTCTAAGAAAGAAATATTATGCTTGCCTTGATAAGAAAAGAAGGGAATAGAACTTTCAAAGATGTGAGAATATTAGAATAGGTATCAATATAAGGTGGTGCGTTGACATTGGGTGCGTACAGATTGATGATTATTATTTCCTTTTGGTCTATTTCCCCTTTTATTAGTATGGAATGTCCTTCTTTATCTTGTTTGATCAATGTAGGTTTGAAGTCTACTTTGTCAGAGATAAGTATTGCTACTCCTGCTTGTTTTCGGGGGCCATTGGCTTGGTAAATCTTCTTCCAGCCTTTCATCCTAAGCATATGCTTATTTCTGTCAGTGAGATGAGTCTCCTGTAAGCAACAAATTGTTGGATCTTCTTTTTTAATCCATTTTGTCAAATGGTGTCTTTTGATGGGTGAATTGAGTCCATTAACATTAAGTGTTAGTACTGATAGGTATGTGGTGATTCCTGCCATTTAGTTATCTTAGTTGTTTGAAGGTTTGATTGTGTGTACCTAACTTGATGTTACTCTCTACTGTCTTGCTTTTTCTTATCCTGTGGTTTGGTGCTGCCTGCCTTTTCATGGTTAAGTTGGGTGTCACTTTCTGTGTGCAGGATCCCTTGCAGAATCTTTTGTAATGGTGGCTTTGTGGTCACATATTGTTTTAGTTTCTGCTTATCATGGAAGATTTTTATTGCTCCATCTATTTTGAATGATAGCTTTGCTGGGTAGAGTATCCTGGAGTTGAAGTTATTTTCATTCAGTGCCCGGAAGATCTCACCCCACGCTCTTCTTGCTTTTAATGTTTCTGTTGAGAAGTCTGCTGTGATTTTGATGGGTTTACCTTTGTATGTTACTTGTTTTTTCTCTCTTACAGCCTTCAATATTCTTTCCTTAGTTTCTGAACTTGTTGTTTTAATGATGATATGTCGTGGAGTAGTTCTATTTTGATCTGGTCTGTTTGGTGTCCTGGAGGCCTCTTGCATTTGTATGGGAATATCTTTCTCTAGATTTGGGAAATTTTCCGTTATTATTTTGTTGAATATATTACGCATTCCCTTCGCTTGCACCTCTTCTCCTTCATTGATGCCCATGATTCTCAAGTTTGGTCTTTTGATGGAGTCAGTGAGTTCTTGAATTTTCTTTTCACAGGTCTTGAGTTGTTTAATTAATAGTTCTTCAGTTTTTCCTTTAATTACCATTTCATCTTCAAGTTCTGAGATTCTGTCTTCTGTTTGTTCTATTCTGCTGGATTGGCCTTCCGTTTTGTTTTGCAGTTCTGTTTTGTTCTTTTTTCTGAGGTTTTCCATATCCTGGCAGTTTTCTTCTTTATTGTTTTCTATTTTTGTCCTGAGTTCATTTATCCATTTATTCATTGTGTTCTCTCTTTCACTTTGGTGTTTATACAGTGCTTCTATGGTTTCTTTTATTTCTTCTTTTGCTTTTTCAAATTCTCTATTTTTATTGTCTTGGAATTTCTTGAGTGTCTCCTGTACATTTTGGTTGACCCTTTCCAGTATCATCTCTATAAAATTCTCATTGAGTACTTGTAGTATGTCTTCTTTTAAATTATTCTTGTGGGCTTCATTGGGTCCTTTGGCATAGTTTATCTTCGTTTTGTTGGAGTCTGGATGTGAGTTTCTGTTCTCTTCATTCCTCTCTGGTTCCTGTACTAATTTTTTGCTGTGGGGAAACTGGTTTCCCTGTTTTTTCTGTCTTCCTGTCATTGTCCTTGGTGTTGTTACTGTCCCTGTACTGTGTGTAATTAAGCATTTTCTAGCTTGTAATAATAACAATGGTCATATTTAGAATGGAAGAGTGAGCTGAGATGGAAAGCAAGAAGTTAAAGAAAATGGGAAAACAAATATACAGACAAGAGGGAGAAAGCAGAACAAGGTATCAGACAAGAGAGTTTCAAAGGTATAAACAGGGAGTGTTAGTGTACTAATCGACAGTAAGCTGAACAGACATTAGAGAGACAGAGAGAGGATTGAAAATCAAAGATAAAAAAAATAAAAAATAAGTAAATGAAAGTAATATCCATATATAAAAATGAATTAAAATAAAATGGAAAATAGAAAATTTAAACAACAACAACAATAAGAAACCAAAAAACTTCCAAGTTTATATGCAATGCAGTTTCAGTCTTAATAATTTGGGTGTACATCTCAATCTCCAGTCCTGGAGTTGGTGCCTCAGATGTTGTTCTGTAGTTGTCTCATCAAAGGGGATGCATAAAGTAGAACAAAACTACACACTCACACACACACACACACACAAAAGCCCCACCAAGTGTCCCCAGTTCAAATGCAATACAGTTTCAGTAAGTTTTTCAGCTTGTAGGTGTAATTCGGTTGTTCTCTCATCAAAGGTAGGTAGGAAGAAAAAGAAAAAAAAGCATCTGGAGGCAGTTCTGAGAGTGGTATCTGCAACTGTGGCTTGCCTGCCTGCTGCTCTCAGCCTGTAGCTGGTGGCGTTATTTATGCAGATCTCTGGGGTGAGCTAGCACTCACCTGGTCCCACAGGCTTTGTTTGCTCAGAGTTCTCCTGTGCAGGAGCCTCTGCTACAGGCTTTCCCCTTTCCAAGCACTGGGAAAGGTGACACTGCCCCCGTGTTGTCAGGCCTGCGTGTTTATTTACAGTTCATGTGGAAGGTGGGTCTTCCCCCCTCTCCTCTGAAGTTTTCCTCCCACTGTCACTTTCAGAAGCTTTCCTGCTCCTGCTTACTGGGCGGTGCTGCTGCTCCTGCCAGCCACCATGTTTGTTTGCAGTTCACATGGGAAGTGGGTCTTCCCTCCTCTCACAAGCTTCCCCGCTCCTGGTTGCTGAGCGCGTGCCCCGCTCCCGCCAGAGGCTCCCCGGCCCACCTGGCTTGTTTATTTACAGTCCCGGGAAGGATTCCCTTCCCTCAGTCTTCAGCACTCAGGGCGCCCCACCCTCTTTCCAGCGTGTCTTAACTGTTCTTATTGCTTATCACTCAGTTTCTCTTTTTTTTTCCCCTGGGTGGAGGTCAGTCTGTCCAGGGGGCTATGCTGCTCTGGCCCAGGCTTGTCTGTGGGGCTACCGCGGTACCGCGAAGCTCACCTGGTCCGCGTCTTCCCAAGCCATATGGGTGGCGGCCACTGGCGGCCCCAGGGGCTCTTCGTTTCTCCGTTTAACGTGAAGTGGAGATTCTCTGCACCGGCTGGAGATGTGGAGGGGTCAAAGTTATGCCTTTTCTCAGTGATTATGCCTGCAAAGTGTGTCTCCAGCGTCTCTCCAAGATTTCACTATAGAAGGGTCGCTTTCTGCTTCCTACCTCTAGCCGCCATCTTGGAATCCTCAGTTGTTTCTTTCCTAACTCTGTAGCACATAATAACATTAGTCTCTTTCATATATAACATGATTGGAGATATACATTATATTGTTAATGATGTATTTTATTCC